TTGTTGCCATGGCATTGTCAGTTTGTTTTCGACTTAATAGTTTGAATATCCCTTTGGTAATTTTCGCTTCTCTCTTATCAATTTAAATCTGTAGAAAATGTTTTGAAAAATTGTTTTATCGGTACTAACATTCATTTTGTTTTTGAAAAATTAAAACATAACTAAATATATATATATATTGCTATATACATGTATATAATTTTGAGTACTCATGATCCTACATCCTGTCGATACTGCTTATTTCTATTTTGGGATTGCACAAGGTCATGCGTTTCTCAGACTGTTGATGACCTCTTTACACTAAATCCGTTGTATGTGTGCTGGTTGATACTTTAGTCTGGGAGAACATGATTTATTAATTTGTTGTAATTTGCTTTGAACTAGCTTTAATTTCAGTAACTGCAAGTACTCTTCAATCGATGCGTTGTGCATTTTTTTTTATGTTAGTTGGGGTTTTTTTTTTTGTATGATTCTTACCGATGTATTGAGTTAAGCCACCTGCAGCTGATTTTTACAGTTAATTCTCATTTTGTGCTGTTACAACACTATCCCAGGCTAGGGGAACGGTTGAACGCTCACAAACAAGTTTTACCCGCCACATTCTTTATGTGTCCCAAGTCCGGAGCCTGTTATTCAGTGGTTGTCGTTGGTTCATTTCTGTCATATTTGTTTACCGTAAATTGTATTGTTATTAATTAGGTCGTTATTTTTCTCGTTACTCCTCCTTACTTTCAAACGAAAATCTGTCAAAATAACTTTTCCAGCATATCCCTATTTTGTATCAAAATGCAATATCATTTTGATTACATCGAAATATGTAAAATTGTTAAAAAAATGTTTTAAATATATGATATATACTCTTATAATTTTAAAATTCTAGTAGAATTTGACAACTTTTAGAGTTTGACCATTTGAGTGAAACAAATACAGGGGAAACTGCCCATATATAGATATAAGAAGATGTGGTATGAGTGCCAATGAGACAACTCTCCATCCAAGTCAAAATTTATAAAAGTAAACCATTATAGGTCAAAGTACGGTCTTCAACACGGAGCCTTGGCTTAACCGAACAGCAAGCTATAAAGGGCCCCAAAAATTACTAGTGTAAAACCATTCAAACGGGAAAACCAACGGTCTAATCTATATAAAAAACGAGAAATGAGAAACACTTATGAACCACATCAACAAACGACAACTACTGAACATCAGATTCCTATACCTTTTAAGATTAACGGATTTACATGTCACTAACAGCTCAAGTATATCCAAACAACAGTTTACCACAATGTACCTAAGGGAAACAAGATTGGAGAAAACCTAGCTAAACAACACACCATGAAATTCTTAAATGAAAATTGATTTGGAATAAGACTACCAAAATTGAATCCATGATAGTTGGAATACAGCAATTGAACGTGGTGAAATTAATTCACTTACTTCTTACATGTTTTACCAGTTTAACAACCATAAACATAATAAATTAATTCAAATACCCGGCAGTTTCGCGAGTGTCTTCTAGTTGTAATGGAAATAAGTCTATTTAATCAATACCAAGCATTGCAACCGTTTAGTTTTGTATGCAATGCCTTTTGAATTTTGATTAAAAGTCATCATACTCCGTATAATAAAATTATATATGAGCGAATTATGCGTCTTGACATGCAATACTAACCCATTTACCAGAAGTATACATATAGGACACAAATACAAAAATTGATAAGTAAACTGTAAATTGGTATCATAAATGATTACGTAATGTATACGAATGAATAAAACAACAGGCTTATTGAATAACTTACAATTCCGTAGGCCATCTCTTTTTTCAATCGAAAGGCTGTTCTGTACATGTGCAGTACTGGGATTTGAAAAAAATACAATTTTGTGTTACGAGTTGTGCTTTTAAAATTATCTGGAAGGGTTGTTGCGAAGGTTGACAGGACGAGTTTTGTTCGTTTTATCATTGGCTTGAAGAGTTTGCTTCTAACGTTCACATTAATTGTAAAAAGTAGGTTTAATTTACTGACTATGTGTCAGATAAACTTAATACATATTTAAACTTCATATTCATTTCTGCAGAATGATGACTCGGGGAAACTTTTTTACACTGATCATGATGATATATGGTTTTACTTTTCCTGAAAACATATTCAACAAATATCTCATGCCACTATTCCAATATGCAGTTTATGAAGGTCAATTCTTTCATTAGTAGGCCATTTTTCTCCTTTTTTTATTGTTACAGATGCCAATTATTCTAGCTAACTCTATATTCTTTATATTTTAGCACTCCATTTGCTCTTTTCTTTATTTTTCTACCATTTTCCAAAAGCTTTCTTGTTTTGCTCATTTACCTCTATTCTCAGTTTGGTTTTGTTTTGTTCATTATTCTTCGGTTCATGCAAAATCTGATCACTTGCTGTCTCTTTGTTAAAATCATAAAAACAGCATTCTTATATATATACTTTTTTTGGTCCTCTGGAAAATGTTGTTTGTGCTGTATTTAGACCCCTCTACCAAGAAAGTTTTTTTCATGCACACGTATAAAAATCGCGGTTTTTATCCAACGCAATCATAGGTTCGAAAGTTGTTTTCAATTTAGACTTATATATATAAACGCCTAAAAAGTGTACAATACAGATTATATATATACAGATCTTTCGAAGTGAAAAATATATGTTATTGACTTTAGAATCTGGACTGAAATAAGGCTTTCTGATATGAAATACAAGTCTTCGGCGGAAGCATTTTGCAGTATCAGCCCCTGTGGAATAAATCGCATGTCGTAAAGGTATATTATCGATTTCAAAGTAGATACTATATATATAGTAGCTAATATTTTGTATATCAAGTTCAAGTTCACTGAATAATTATTATACTAGTCTAGTATGTTATAGGATGATAACGTGTATCGTTTCATTTTTCTATTAATTATCCATTTTAACAAGGATGTGTATAGTAAATCTGTAAGTATTTCTATATTGAATGAAAATTGCTTACCTAGTTTTTCGCCTCAAGTACGGCAGGTCCAATCTCTGGATTGGTCCGATGAACATTTTAGACTTGAATGATGGTATTTTATTATTGAATAAGGAATAAATATGTTGCCCTCGAGATGTATATATGCGTTATTTGTATATACGTAAATTGAAATTCGTATAAACGTTAATCGAATTCCGTATATACATATTAATTGTTTCTGTAAGTACGTCTAAACAAGTGACAACTCTGCGACAGATCCATGATCCATTGGATCACCAGTGAAGGTGATACACGGCTGAAAACACATGTTATATTCATAACTACTCTAAATATCAGCACAACAATGTTAAATCTGCAAATTTGCGGAAGCAAACTTTTGTTCTTCCCTCGCCGGGATTCGAACTCATGCTATTGGGATATCGAGACAACGCTCTAGACCGATCGGCCACCTAGACTGAACTAAAATCAATTCGTCTTTCGGGGGCCTAGTGTTACCTTTGCTCGTCAGTAGAATCTAGAGTTGTAACACAGTACATGATATATTAGGCATGAAGATGTAATTGATTGCAGATTAGCTAAATTATCTATCGTAAATGATCGTAAGATGCAGTCACAGAAATAATTATTTGTTAAGTACGTCTAAACAAGTGACAACTCTACTTCAGATCCATGGATTGGATCACCAGTGAAGGTGATACAGGGCTGAAAACACATATTATATTCATGACTACTCTAAATATCAGCACAACAATGTTAAATCTGCAAATTTGCGGAATTTTTTATCTTCCCTCGCCGGGATTCGAACTCATGCTATTAGGATATCGAGACAACACCGCCTGCACTGTTTCCAGCGCTCTAGACCACTCGGCTACCTAGACTGAACTAAAAAAATCAGCTTTCCGGGTGGCCTAGTGTTACCTTTCTCGTCAGTAGAATCTAAAGTTGTAACACAATACGTGATATATTAGGCATGTAGATGGAAATTATAATAGCTATTATAATATTTCTGTATATACGTTTTTCTATAAATGTATACACGAAATAATTTCTGTCCTACATATCCTTTTAGGCATACACATTAATGACCAAAAAATTGCACAGTGTATCAGAGTTATGCCAATACATTGAGATGTATATTAAAGCTGTTTTAGAATTTATATTCTAATATGATTTAATTTCAGAATTAAATTATTAATTAATATAAAAATATATACCACAATTTTTCAGATCTCTCAAATCACTGTTGAGGCAAATATTATTTGGTTATTTACTGATGAAAATAAGAATTAATCATGATACAGCATATATTTTAAGAATTGACTGCATTTTCACAGAACTAGTAAACATTCCCCTGGATCCGCCACTGTTGCCCTTCCAATGGGCCCTAAATTGGTCATCGTACGGCCTTCAACAATGAGCAAAAACCCATACCGTGAAGTAAGCTAAAACAATCCTATGGTTATATTTTAAAATATCAGTGTACATATAATTGTTTATACCGTACAGTTTTAACATAATGGTATTATCATATTAATATCATTATTTTGGTCAAAGTGAAACTAAAAGTAGAACGTGGCTGTAAGGTCAAAGTTGAAGATAGAAATTCTTCCGCAATTTTAATAATTTGTATGAATGAATTTTTATATATACAGCTGTATTACAGTAACCTGTTTGGATATTGTTAACAAGTAGACAATTTAAATGTACACTCCTTTAAATTATCATGCTAGCTTATCAGTGATCAGCTTTTTCTTCGGAATAAACAGAGTAATCGTCATTCAACGATGCTACATTTTTACCGAATCGTGAATGTAAACATTTGCAACCACAAACCCTATAATCGCGTATAAACTGGTCGAAAAAATATCAACAACATACTATAAATAGAAAACAAATGCTTGTGTCATCCTCCAATAGTTTCGATATTAATAATATATATGATAATTCACTTCAATACAATAACAACAGATTGATTTATATTTGTCGATAAACCTGAAGAACTATTTATTTGCGCGCAACCGAGCACTCACATTGTAAACAGCTCTAATGGCAGGTTGTGGTTTATGAAAGCAGAAATGGGCCTTCCCGCTTCTAAGAGGTGGTTCCTTCGGACAGCTTTCGTTTTCTTCCAGATCTGCTTTGGAGGAGGTAAGGAAAATAGTCTTGTTACTTATTTCATAGATAATTTATCGTGACAACCTCTGATTTTCCAATAATTCGATTTGATAGTTGAAGCATCGATTTTTGTTGCAGGTTCTGAATATGGCGGATCTTTGGAACCTCTTGCAGCATCGTCAACAAGATTTTTCTCGGCAGTTGACAAATTATTACAGCGTCATATACTTGGAAACCTGCCAAAAACCGAAACAATCCAGAACAAAGATGTATTTAAAAATGGAATTAAAATAAACTTGGGAAATGTAGAAAGGTTTTGGATACCAGATGGAGATAGAGTGGAAAAAAGGGGAGGTCGTGTGAGACGATCATATATAGCTAGATATCCATCAGTAGATAAATATGACCTAACTGCACCAGTCCCTATTGATTACATACTTGTTGTGGTAATTTAATTATTTTTTCTATGCACAAAATTTGGCATGTAGCACAATCACCACTGTTCATGCTGTTACAAAATCTTAATACTCATACCTCATACATATCATATATGCCAAGGAATTTTTTCTGAGTCGTGTTTAGTGCAAGAGTAAATTATATTCTCTTATTAAGTTATATCTGAATTGAATGGATGTGTTTATAATTTGTTGACAATTTTTGAAATTTTAAAACAATAGACGGGAAAACTTTTTAATACACATATACTTGTACCTCTGAATATAAAAAAAATCTCATACAATATGTAATACATTTGCAGTCATCAGTTCAATAACTTAAATTTTAACTGGGACCAAAACATATCGTTTTAAATAAAAGCCTAGTCCATTGAAGTTAGACTTTTAAAGGCAATCTTTTTAATTAAATATAGTATCAAATCACTATATATAACTAATGCTAAAAAATCTGATTGATAATTAGATTTACAGTGAAATTATAGATATAAAAAGCCATTGCTTGATTAAAACCTTGAATGTTTCATTAAACATAAATATTACATTAATATCTACAAAAAAAAAATCCATGGAAAACTCAAAAAGTTTCGAAGACATTTATTTGAGGTGTACATCAATGGCTTGCTGTGCAGAAGGGCATGATAGAACTCATTTTGTTACTTATAATGTAATTTCATAGTAAGGATAATATCTTATGATATAAAGGAATTGTTCAGTTAACAAAAACACATCTGATTTAAATGATTAAATAACATGTTTGAGAATTTAAAGCTCTTCATAGATAAGAAATCAACTATTATCAAATTCTTAAAGAAATAGTTTCAGTTGCCTTGGAGATTTTACATTTTCAATTTGAATGTGGATATTTACATTGAATTATTATATGCTGGGTACATATTTTTTCCATTGGAAAGAAAAAAGATCTTAAATGTAGTTTATTAATCAAAAATCAGGTTTTCATTGAATTGAATGTGTCAACGTCTCATTCACATAATTAATATACAAATACTTAATTTACTAAAAAAAAGATTGATTGAATTTGATTGTTGATTTTTAATACTACTATAAGCATTATTGGCTGTATGGTGGCGGTCAGTTTTTATTGGTGGAAATTGTAATTGAACATAGATCAGGAATGATACAAGTACACCACAGAGTCAAAGTTTTAAAAAAAAGGCAAACAGAATTGAAATGGTTTTATTGTCCCACATTTGAAATATGAACATAAATTTCCTCTTACCTATAGACAGGTGTCAAATGAATTGGTAATTTTAATTACACTGAGTAAATCTGTATTGGTTTATTATGACCCACTTCTCCTTTTATTCAAACTTAAAAGATATGATGACTGGGTAATTTTATGTAATAGAAATGTTGAAATAGCTTCTAGTTATAAAAAAATGACATCACATGACTTTATTTTAACCCCACCCCCCAATAAAACAAAAGAGAAAGGTAACGAATACAATAACTGATACTTTTATAAAAATTAGGTCATAGCTTCAAAAGTACTTGTAGTATAACATTTTGTGTTCTTCTTCTTAAATACAAAGTCACTTTCTGCATCATCAAAATGCTTCCATTCTACTGAATCAATAATTTCAAGTGCATATGTGTTTATGGTCAAATCTGTAAAAGAAAATCAGTGTGGCATATATTTTGTTAACCTTCCTTAATATGAAACTTGTTAACAAAATAAGATAGAAAAGTTATTGAACTTATTCCTTTTTGGCTTCAGATTTATAAATAATTTCTGATTACAAGTTGTAAAGTGTTAAAGGAAAGTTCTTGTTTGCATAAGGTAATACCAGTTGACATTTGTCAGTGTTACACTGAGGATGTCTTTCATCCTTGCAAGTCTTGATATCAATTTAAACATTTTTGAATAAAGTTTTGATATCAATTTAAACATTTTTGAATAAAGTTTTGATATCAATTTAAACATTTTTAAATTAAGTTTTGATATCAATTTAAACATTTTAAGGGCAGTGACTGATTAACAAATACATGGAGTTTTCTAGCATTCTACGTGTTCCGGTATTCGGACACATTCCCAATTGCAAAAACCCCCTACATTTTGCCAAATTTTTTGTGGGAGGAAAAATTCCCAAACAATCTCAAAATTGCAAACGAAAATTGATCCAGAAGTTATTATTACCGAAACTACGCTCTTTACTTTTAAGGTAAAAAAGGTAAGAAGGCAGTTAATCTGTGCGCTTTAAGAATTCCCGTATTTTGATACTAAGGTAGTTTCTTACTTTATTTTCACAATAAGATGATTTGTAATGAACTATACACACTAAAATCACATCCGGTATATTTGTTGTTTTCCCAATTTCTTTGAAAATTGCTCAAAATATTTCCAAAAATGCCCAGGGTCCTTTCCCCCTGAATACCAAGAAAAACCCCTAGAGTAACTAGGTGACATGGAATAAAATAAAGCTGAGTCCAAATACATGTACTTTACAGCATTTAATTTTTCTAAACATTTTACCATTTTGGAGCAGTGGTCCAAAGAACCATTATCTCAAATCTCTTATATTAACAGATTTACTAGCATCCTTTATAAAATTACCTTTAATGTAGAACATATAGAACTTTTATATATTTGTACGTGTACATCAAACTCAAGATTTGTTCAATTTTGACGTTTTAACCAATTTATTTCTATTTCATGGCTCTATAACCCAATGTTTTTATTTGAGTTCATATAGATTAAATATTTCAACTAAGGACCAAATTGGTCCCATTTGGATTTCTGCTATCAGAAAATGTACTGGGATTCAAGTGCAAGGAAAAATAAAAGTAGAATTTATTTTTCTGATGTTTTGAAACTCTCAAGTTGTTAAGGGATGATAACTATTATAGACTTTAGGGTATTCTCAATATTGATGCAAATTCTTTCAAATCTTGCATTAATATTGAGAAATTCTCCATCTTTTGGCATTAGAATAATCATTTTAAAGTGAGATTATGAAAATAAAATAATGGAAAAAAAATATTGCAAATGAGATCAGAAAAAATGTCCGACTAGCTACAAAATTGGCTTGATCACAACACCAATGATGCTTCGATTTTAGATTTTGATCAAACTTGTTAATACTGAGTGGCACATCTGTACCTAAAAGTCATGTTTGTTACCCCACTTGGGATAATAGACCTTGACTTCAATGGTATGGATGTAGGAACAAAAAACATGGTGACATGGGAAACTTCATTGTACATGAACCATGTCTATTTCAAAAGAATATCATATAACTTTAATTACATGTAGTTGTAACCATCAGTAGTATTATAATAATTATCTCTGATGATTGATATCCATCTAAGAGCAAAATAATCAAGATTGTTTTTGTCTCGCCTGCAATTGATAATTGAAACATGTAAGTCAAAGTGAAATATAATTGTAATTAATCAAATTTAAATTTTTATAATTTTCTATTATTTCTTATGTTTTTATCATTTTAATCTCATATACAATATTAGACAAATATTAATGAGAAAGAAAACAAATCTTTAACTTTTATTTTTAATTTTTAATTGTAAATGAATATTAAAATGAAATATTATTATCATACACACACAATTATCGCTTTTCATCATTTTGTTTTTGTGTTTGATTGTCTAATGATAAAAACTAAATGCATTATGGTTTGGCTATTTCCAGTTATAAAGTGATATGAAGCACAATAAAATGAACTTAATCTGAATTCTCTATATATATCCAACAATCATGTTTCAGTCATAATGCAATAATTGAACATTTTTGTTTTAATGCTAAACACATTTACAGAATGGATACCTTAAATAGACCATATGGTATATTGACAGTTATGCCATGATTGAGACTGATATATTTTCTTTGCAATCATAACACTTGACAATGTTTATCTTAAGAGCTGAAATGTGTGGGCGGTAAAAAATATGTCTCTTATGACCCTGTTGTATTGATTATGTTCTCTCATTTTACAGAGTTGTATTACCATACTTATTTAGCTAGAACCAAATCAAACCATCTGGGTCAAGATCTGATTATTTATATTGCTAGAAAACTTTAAATCATACAGTTGAATATTTTTTTTAAAGATCATTGTAGTTTATGATTTTATGTGTGCTAGGATGGATATTCATGGTCATATTTACTCAATCTTTAAGTATAGTTCATGGAGTCAATGGGTCATATCTTTGTTATAATCATTTGTCATGGAGTCAATGGGTCATATCTTTGTTATAATCATTTGTCATGGAGTCAATGGGTCATATCTTTCTTATAATCATTCGTCAACTTGTAAACAGGAAGTCATATATTTTAGATATTCACTTATTTGAAACCCTAAAATAAATAATACCTTGGTAATTGTCAGTCTGTCTGTCTCTCAGTCATTGCTGCACTCTATCTCTCAGTCATTGTCTGTCTGTCTCTCAGTAATTGTCAGTCTGTCTCTAAGTCATGGCACTTTATCTCTCATTGTCTGTCTGTCTCTCAGTCATTGTCTGTCAGGTATTGTTGGTCTGTCTGTCTGTCTCTCAGTCATTGCCACTCTGGCTGTTTCTCAGTCATTGTCTGTCTGTCTGTCTCTCAGTCATTGTCTGTCAGGCATTGTCAGTCTGTCTGTCTGTCTCTCAGTCATTGCCACTCTGGCTGTCTCTCAGTCATTGCCACTCTGTCTCTCAGTCATTGTCATTCTGGCTGTCTCTCAGTCATTGTCATTCTGGCTGTCTCTCAGTAACTGTCTGTCTGTCTCTCAGTCATTGTCTGTCAGGCATTGTTGGTCTGTCTGTCTGTCTCTCAGTCATTGCTACTCTGGCTGTCTCTCAGTCATTGTCGTGCTGGCTGTCTCTCAGTCATTGTCATTATGGCTGTCTCTCAGTCAGTAAGTCTGTCTATCTCTCAGTCATTGTCTGTCTGTCTGTCTCTCAGTCATTGCCATTGTCATTCTGGCTGTCTCTCAGTAATTTTCAGTCTGGCTGTCTGTCTGTCTCTCAGTCATTGT